ACACATGCTAGGGTGCCATCCCCAGTGGTGCCAGTCCCTGGTGTTGGACAGGTGGGGCAGGGGCTGCAGAACAGCTGGGGACTGGAGGAGGATGATGAAGATGACTATGAAGAGGAAAAAAATCACAACAGTGGTGACGAGCAAGTGGAAGAAGTGACAAAGATGGACGTGGGCGAAGGTGGTTTATTATTTATTTATTTGGACAGTTTGATGTAAAAGTCAGGTTTGCTGATTAGAGGAAAAGAATAAAAATGTGCTTGAACTGAGAGTTTGTTGTCTTACAGGAGATGTGGTTGAGATATCAGACAGTGAAGAGGAGGATGTGGTCATACTAAACCCTGAGGTGCCAGAAAAACCAAAGTAAGCACAGCTGTTCTTTTCTAATGAATGTAATTAACAGATAAATATTATTTTTATATTGATGTGGTTGTTCTTAATTCATTTTTATTGCTCTCAGAAATACAGGCTCCAAGTCTCACCAGAAGGGGGCAGCAGCATCCAAGAAACGGCAAAAAAAATGAGGAACTACTGCAGATGGGGATTTGTTCCAAAATGTCAAAACGTTTTATTATAAACACTGAGCTGGATTTCAACGAGTCCCACCTGAAGTGACTGCAGCTCAGAAACAAAACATTAACTTGATGTTTGTAACTGTTTCAAACAAATGTACAAAAAGGGAAAATGTTAAAAGATAGTTCATCTGTGCACACCAGACTTTTATATTTCAGTTTGTTTGCAGGGATGTATTTCCTACGTCGATTTCAAATAAAATTAAATAGCTTTTTTTCTAACAGCGTTTCTGGCTTCATCTAATGGGTTTTATGAATGATAAATGCAAACTGAGAATCTGTAAATATCCTAACATCGTTTTAATGTGTAAACTAATTAAAGTAAGCACTTGTTGTCAATGGAAGACATTTACAATTATGGTAATGATAAGGAGTAGCAGCTGGAGAGAAGTAAAAGTTTAGGTTCCACCGAGATTTGAACTCGGATCGCTGGATTCAGAGTCCAGAGTGCTAACCATTACACCATGGAACCACCGTTGTGACACAATGAGAAGGTTTGATCGATATAGACAACATGATGGCATTTCGTTAAAGTCTATAAAACTACTTTTCCTCACTGAGAACGATACAGATTTTCTGAAAAAGAAAAGAAAAATGTTCTTGCTTCATTAAGCAAGTTAGCTGAAGTTAGTTAGCATACTTGTGATGAGCTAGCCCCGATATGGACTAGCATGCGAACAAAACCTCGATAAATGGAAGA